TGAAATCTTTATACAAATATCGCAAGTGCGAAAAAGTCTCCCTAACTAGAATTCACCTATGCTAGAACTAGATTAAGAAATTACCGTGCCATTCCCCGGCAACGGCGCCATTTGATAACCGCTTTCACGGCGTTGTAGTAAAACGGAGTCTAACCTTTCGGTTTTTCCCCGAGTATCGTGTCTCTTGAGGAATGACGGAGGAGTTTTCTTAATTTAGTCTTAGTCACGGGCTATCACTAATTGTTGGAAGCTTTTTCAATACAAAAAGGGTGATTGTATTCTAGACTAGGCCAAATTGCACAATTACACTAGGAGCAAATTTCAACTAAAAGATTTAAGATTTAAATATTCTAAAAAATTATTGAGGCAAGTAAGGGCAATGAATTGAGTAATTGGAAATGGATATATTCTTGGACCTAGTAATTAGGGGAATTAAAACAACAATTGGACTAATAATTTCTTTTCTCATAGACAAGAATAGAAATTACTTTCATTAATTTATCCTATTTCTAGGTTTCATTAATGTATTCAAAAATGGTTGACTTGAATTAAATTCTAATCTCATAGACAAGGCAGAAATAATTCTCCAAAATTTTAATTAATAAAAATAGCCAAATTCATTAACTAATTAAATTCATTATTTAAGCAATTTGAATGTAATTCTCATAGACAAGATGTAAATCCATTTCATTAGAATTATCCTATTTCTAGGCCTTATTAATGTGCTTGAATAGAGTTGGCTCAAATTACTTTCTAATCTCATAGACAAGTATAGAAATAATTTTCCAAAATTTAATTAATGAAATTGGCTAATAATTATTAATTACTAATTCATCAAATTGAATAACTAGCTCAATTAATTAATTTTAACCCCTAATTTTCGGCTAACAAGTCAATCCATATTCCTTTACTCAATTCATGCCCAAAACAAATTTAGCTACTAAACATTATTTTTGCATTCAACAATATGGTAAATAAATTAAACATTAACAAGGAATTAAACATGTATAATAGCAAAAATTAAACAAAAATAAGATATTGTCAAAATAAACTTTCTGGAACTACAATATGACTTTTTGGAATTTTTCACGAATTTTTAAACCTAAAATCCAATTTTAACCCTAATTGATAATTTTCCCACTTTTAATTATAAAATACAAAAGGCAATTAAAAATAGGCTAAATGCATTCTAAATGTTTTTTGTTGACTACTAGGGGTGATATTACAGTGAAATAAACTGGAATTAGGGCCGAGACTATTTTGTTTCTATTTTTGTGTAATTAATTTAATTTATGCAATAATAACACCTAATTACCGAAATTAATTAACAAATACTTGCACTTCGTGAAAATTAACTTTATTCAGATAAATAACAACCTTGAGGCTAGTGAACAACTATATAATTAATTGGAATGAATTCAACATCAACAACTATTTTATTTAATTTATGGAAGAAAATGCGAAATACTAGATAAATATTCTGGAAAAATTCGAAGAACAGATCGAGAAAACAAAGCACAGATTCAGATTCTACTCGTTGAGAAGATGAAAATACATATAAAGAACTTACAATTTGAAGCTAAAATGAAGAAGATATGAAGATTTGAAGTTTCTCTCTCCCAAAAATCCTTGGAGCTGCGGAAATAGCTGAAGAACATGACCTTTTTGAATTGAATTAGAGTTGGAAGAGGTGTGTTTGAGTTCAGCAAAAATCGGGGTATTTATAGCAAAAAAAATCTGGTAGGCGGCCAAACAGGCGGCCGCCTCTGGTTCTGGCCTGGCCGCCTTCCGTCACGTCACCGGCAGGACGTGACGCCGGTCAACTCGTCCGCCGCAGGCGGCCGCCTGCCGTTTCTGTCTGGCCGCCTGGTGTCAAATCCCACCGGCCGGTGGTTGGTTCGTCGCCTTGTGCCACAGGCGGCCATCGAAGGCGGCCGCCTTCCGTCCAGTGTCGGCCGCCTTCCGTTTTTCTCCGGTCCGGTCAAATTTGATCAAAATTGACTTTTTTCAAAAGTTGGTAGGCGGCTTGGTAGGCGGCCAATCTGGGCGCCTATTTGGGCGCCTGTGATGTTTTTTGTCCGTTTTGTTCTGAATTTTGTGCTCTTCAACTTTCCCTTCTGGACCACTTTGAAATTCTGCTTCCTTTTTTCGGTATGATATCATTTGTTACTCGAATTGACGCATTTTGTGCTAAATTGACCCGAAATTTCATCAAACATATCATGGATGTGATTTTTACCTGATTTCACGAAACTTGAACCAAAATATATAAAACATACCTTGTTTTTCTGTTTTTCAGTCCAAAATCACTTAAATTTGATAAGAAAAATAAGTACAAAAATGGACTTATCAATCTTCTCACACTTAAGCGTTGCTTGTCCTCAAGCGACAAATTAGTTGCAAACACACTCAAAAAAGGTAAAACCTTACTGAATCATAATCGAATTGCTATTAAAGAAATTGAAACAAAAATCTCCCTTTTTATTGTCAATTTTTAAACATTTTAGCAAAATCACCCAAAATACAAGAATTTAAAATTATTAATAAAAAAAACTATTGATTATGTTAAACCACCAATCAATTCCTTATCCCAAGGTTTTCATTATTCTAATTTGGACATTTATCTTATTCACAAATTATTATTATTTTTTTTGTGTCTCTTTTCCACTCTTGTTGGCGGTGTTATCCCATGGTAGATGCATATTTCATTCTCACAGACTATGATTAACGAATGAAACAGAGCCCCTTTTCGGAGATGGAATTGTCCTATAACAATGAGTTTTGAAGAGATTTATTAATAAGTATTTTTTTTTGAATAAAATGAATGTCCAATTAAAACAAAATCGACCCCTTACATTCGCAACCAAAAACCCATAACAATTTCAAGTTTTCTAAAAATAATAATAAAAGTAAATTCTTATAATAAGGGTGATCCTTTAAGCTATTATGTGATTGATAACAATTGAGAGGTGAATGTTTCATATCAAAAATAGTAAAAAGATTGATCTAAAACAAGGTTTTAACATTTTGAGTGTAAAACGCAACCTCCTCACACTTGAGCTGGACCTCGCCCTCGAGGTCTGCACAAAGTTTAGAAATAAAGGCACATTTTTTTTGGTTCTTTCCTCACACTTGAGTTTTGAAAAGATTTTGTGAAGAGGAATAATGAAAGCAGGAATAAAAATGGAGCGAGGGACTCCTGATGGAGTATATGGCCCGAGGAAACACCCGGTCCACAAACTCCTACTACTCCAATAAAGGCCCAATAGGCCCAGGAAGCACAACATGCCCAAATCACAGCGCCCAGAGTACCAAGCGGCCCACAGTGAGCGCTAGGGGTGCCTTCGGCCCCCTGACCGAAGGCTCCAATTCTCACAGGAGGGTCAAAACAGGAAAACAAAGTTACTGGGAAAAAACGGCGAAAATCAGTAGCCCTCGGCACATGGAGCCCTCGGCACTAAGAAGGTCCCCGGTGCTCCGAGCCCTCAGCTAATCATCTACAGCCGAGGGCACCATTTCCGACATAATATCCGCTCCACATGCGTATAGATCACCGTACCAAGTACGACGTCACATCCAACAGCCGCATTAAATGCGGCCACATGCGATTGCCAGCGCCAACCGGTTGAGGTGACCCCTCGGCCAATGGATGCTTGACACGTGTCCCCATTTGGCATTTATTGCTACTATAAATAGTACCCCATTCCCCCATTTGTAACCAAGAAGCAAATACGCTGAATACATTTCTAATATACTCTCTCTCTCTACTTACTTGCTCTGACTTCTCTCTAGTTATTCCCCGTAATAACCCCTCGGATAAGCTACCCCCCGGGTACACTATCCATCATAATGAACTGGACATTGTTTCCCCCTGGTGACTGGAGGAGGTGGTGCAGAGGCGGCGGTGATTTTTTTTTGAGTTTTTTATATTTTTTTTAAATGTTTTTTATTTTTTTATGTTTTAAAATAAATAAATAAATAAAATATTATTATCGAAATAATTTTATTAATTTTTAAGTATTTTTTACGAATTTTTATTATTTTTTATTATTTTATTATGAATTAAAACATTTCAATAGCTATAAGGGTATATTTGTCCAAGACACACATAATTAGTCATATGAAAACATAGTTTATTTTTTGGTCCTGTTTGTGCAAAATGACTGACTTTTAATCCCATTTTGATAATTAACCCTACTCATATTAGTCCCTTTCGCTACAAACGTAGAGATGTTTTAAGGGTAACACTAGGCTTCAATATTACACTAAGGTTAGACAAAGAACAAAAAAAACCGTATTAAGGCACTCTTGTTCGCTAACCCTGCAAAAATGTAGTCTCGTACTGCAATGTGACTGCTCATGCTACTTGAAATGGGTCCAGTTTGACCAGCCACCGAAAAGGAATTATTAAACTTTGACGGTTTTTTCATCCACCGGAACTGTTCCGGTTTCACCAGCCACCGGAAAGGAAGCAATCCATTCAATCTCATCTTTTCAGATCGGCGGTGGTTCGGGGGTGGGGGGGGGGTGGGGGGTGGGTCGACCTCTATATTGATACAGAAGAAATCATGATTCATGATTGATAAAGAAGTCAATACAAACCTCTTACTAGCACACAAGAACATCCGACCAATGATGGTGGAAAATATACATCTGGAGAGCGACACTTCACCATCGAAAATAGCATCCATAGACAACGTTAAGAAATAACCGCTTGTATTTGCCTTTATTCACCGAGTTTTTCTCTGAATCATCACTTTGACCAAGCACCGCAGAGGAATCTTAAATGAAAAGCATTTTGGTACCTTAACTCTTAAATGAATCAAAACAGTACCTTATCAATACATAAATGTTTCGAATTGAGATTTTATTCAAATTTCTGACAAAAAAATCACGCATGACTAGCCATTTTGTTACCTCCTGTCGGACTAGTTGTAACACCCCCAAATTTCCCGCCCAAAAACAATGATATATTTAAAAGAAATACTTTATTCATTCATCAAAGAGTTAAAGAAATACAGCGGAAGTCTAAAATAGGGAAACGGGTGTTACCGCCACATCCGGTCATCTCTCAACCGGATGCACAGGCAACTAGAACAGAACAACTAATTTAATAAAAGTAGAGTGTTTGAAAAGTAAATGTTTATTTCATGACTAGTGTAACTAAGGCGACTTCTAACTCGCTCATAGTTGGACAAACTTCGTGTGGTACTCTTGGACGGTTAAATCTCCTTGCTTGAAGTTGACAAACTCATCATAGTTTGCCTCTTTCACATGGTCCGGATAGAAACGGTCGCGTAGGGCTATCTTGAAGTCTTCCCAACAAAATTCCGGTTGCTCGAGGAGAGTTGTCCCGGTGGCAGCCCACCAGTGATCCGCCTCTTGGTGCAAGTAGTACACCGCTATGTTTACCCGCTGCTCTAACGGGCAGTTGAGCGAATCAAAGAGCTTGTCGAAGGTTCGGATCCAGTCTTCTAGAATCAGATGATCCTCCTCCCCCAGGTATTTTGGGGGGTTCCTTCCGGCTACGCGCGCTGCATAGTCAACCCCTTGGTTATGGGTTTGAGCTGCTCCGATGTGTTGCGCCATCTGCTGAATAGTTTGAGCCAACTCCTCAACAGTTGGGGTCGCATGGGGGTTTCTTCTTGGCGGCATGTTTCTTAATAAAGAAAAGCTCGTACTAAGTATTAATGCATACATAAGGATTCTATACAAATTCTCTACTAACTTCAGATTCTTAGAACAAATAGTACACATAGTGTATCAAATATTTTACATACTTCACAGAGGCATGAATCCCATGCATTTCATAACTCAATAACTTCGCAAGGTTTCTCCTTCTCACCGCGTTCCTAAAAGGCCTCTTTCCTAGTATATTTATTCTCCTAATTTTAGGAAAACATTTTTGAAAATCCCGCATCAAACCCATAGTTTTCGTCAAAGATTTCGAACAACGAAGTTTCAGCACAAGGAGAAATTCCCAGTTGGTTGGACGAGCGCAAAGACTCAATTATGCACCAACCAGCTTAGACTGTTATCGTCTTTGTGACAGAATTTCTCCCTACGACCTATTACCTCGTGTTCTAATCCTTTCGGAAAAACCAAAGGCTCTGATACCAATTTGTAACACCCCAAAATTTCCCGCCCAAAAACAATGATATATTTAAAAGAAATACTTTATTCATTCATCAAAGAGTTAAAGAAATACAGCGGAAGTCTAAAATAGGGAAACGGGTGTTACCGCCACATCCGGTCATCTCTCAACCGGATGCACAGGCAACTAGAACAGAACAACTAATTTAATAAAAGTAGAGTGTTTGAAAAGTAAATGTTTATTTCATGACTAGTGTAACTAAGGCGACTTCTAACTCGCTCTCGGCCATGCAAGCAATCATCACTCGACAACATCATCCTCACCTGCACAAATAAAGTGCAGAAACAAAACAAGGAAAAGAAAACAAAAATTAGCTTTAGAGCTAAGTAAGTACTACCCAACCCCGTAAAATAATCATGTTTGACTAAAATAGATTTTTATATAATAATATATAAAAATACTCACACCATCGAAATTCTTTTCACTTTGATTTTTATCAAGACTACTTCTTTACAAAAAAAAAATCCTCAACTTCTCTATAAAACTTCATAATAACTCTTCTCTTTGATTTCCTCAAAAATCACTTCTTCTCTAACTTCCTAGTAATTTAGAAGGGCGGTGCTCAACCTTTCGGTAGAGCCCGGTGGACCGTGGTTACGGACGGCCACCCCGAACAAGTGCCGGTACCACAACTGCTCTGTTGGAAACGAAACGACTACCTTAAGTGTGCACACCCCCTAAAAGGGATTCCAAGCCCCCCGAGTAGTAAGTCGTAACGAGTAGTCGGGACTCAGTCTACCAACTACCCCTGAATAAGATATTTTGAATGACTAGGGACTACTACTACCATAACTTCTTCTTAAAAGGGATCATCGATCCAAATATCACTTTAAACTCAAACTGTACTTCTTAGTAGTAGCAGACCTAATCACCCTCCACATTTATCCGGACGTGGAAAACCGACACCACGGATTTCTCCCGTGATGCTCACCTCTTATAAAAATGTAAATTTTATCTTCAATAAATAATACTTCAAAAATACTTCTCAATTTCTCTAAAAAGTCTTGAAGGTATTTAAAAATATTAAATACCCTAAAAGTACTTAATTTATATTTCTCAACTACCATATATATAATATCTCTTCAAAAATCACATACACAAAATTCAACAATTCACACTTATTCACATAATGCATAATAAGCATATACGAGGAAACAATTTTAGATTGGCAGAGAAACTTACCTCTAGTCCGGGTGCTCCTAATTCTCTTCTTCTACTCCGGTCTCTAAATAATCACCTTTTTAATTAAGATGATATAATTAGTCACTTACTCTTTAATAATTATTTTACTCGATTTTTACCTTTTATTTTATTTTTCGAATTCACTAATTCAATTATTTTATTATCCGCGTTAATCACTTCTTATTAATTAAATTACCTTATTAATTCCGTCGTTAATTAAAATACTTAAATTCTAAAACATACGAATTTAATTAATTACAATATCAAATTTCTAATTTAATAATCATCTTTTTATTTACTCAACTCCTAAAGCATATGGTATGGCTTAATATTATATCCGAATTATTTTTAATCTAACTAATCAAATATAAAAATTAGTTTATATTAACATTATTAGCCTTAATAAATCCGAATTAACTAATATATTCGGATTTTATTAATTACTTAAACACTTAATATTTTAAAGTCCGAAATTATGCAAATTTTATATTACTCTACCTTAATTAGTCCAATAATTAGTGAAAACAAAATCTACCAATTTATTTAATCTAATTATGATACCAAGTCGAAATAATTATTTTAATATAATATTCTCTAATGAATATTAAACTATAAATTAATTTTATCGATAATAAACATTTTATTCTTTAACTAATTAGCTTTATATGGTCCAATTTAATAAAATAGCCAAGAGTCGACTTTATAAATTAATAACCGTCCATAACTACATTTTGGTTCTATATTTGGCTTAGGTTGTCCAATTATTTATTTTATAATTCATTTTCCTTAATTATTCATTTATTTTCGTATATCAAATAACCGGTCCATTCACAATTAAATATACTAATATTAATTTTTATTAATTATAAATGGTCCATAATGTCTTAGTTAGTCTTATATTTATCCTAGTTTACTACAATATTTATTTCATAATTAATTTCGCCATTTACTTATTTATTTACTAATTGTGTACAAATTGGCCCAATTACCATTAAATCAATTAAAAATAGCTAAAAATATTATTTTTCAATTCTGGTTGGTCCGAACATGTATAATTACACCAGGTATTTAATTTATATTTTTCCAGATTTTATTTATTTCATTTACTATTTTATTTTTAATTTTTATTGCAACTGGGCCGAACTGGCCAAATTTAATTCTTCTGGCCCAAAAAATCAGGCCCACAAGACAGACCCTTGTCTGGGTCGTCTTCTCCACCAGCTCGCCGAAAAAAAAACGGGGAAAGAGAAAGAAAAACGGGGAAGAGGTTTTACCTCGTCGGAAACGGCCAACGGGGTAGCGGTGCACTCCTCTCGGGACGGCGAAGGCCGGTGGAGGGTTGGCGGCGGAGACGGCGACTCCTGCTCCTCCGTTTTCTGTCGGGAAAGTTTTCCGGCGAAAACTCCGGCGAGCGTTTTCTCCCTCGTTTCACGACCGTTTTCAAAGATTCTTCCTCCGTTGGATTCCTCTCACGAAGGGGAAGGTCTGGGAAGCGTTTTCAGGGCTCGGTTTTGAGTCTAACGATGGGTTGGAAAAATTTCAGTTATATATATATATATATACGTTTTTCCGACGAAATTTTGGGATGAAAAGGCCAGACAACTCTTCTGCTATTTATAGAGATGGCTGGGTGTAAAGCTTCTGATTCAGATTCTAAAATCCTGCTCCTAAGATTTTTTTTTTCTCTTTTGGAACGTTTCATACGTTGGGAGATTTCCTCCGTTATAAAATTTAATTTTTTAAAATTTTTTTCCTTTGTTGATTTGTAACTGATGTGGGTTATACGTATAGTATTAAAAAAAATATAATATTATTAATTTAATAATTTACTTTCTGATTTTATACGTAGGTTTATATATTTAGGAGTAAAAATGGAAATTGTGTTTTGTAAAAATAAAATATAGCTTTACTTCTTATGTCATATGTATAATTGGTACTTGATATAAAATATTACTTCTTTTATCGGACCATTTTTATCTGACTAAAAATGTCACAATTGTTAATTTTCTGTCTGGTTCGCTTGTTTCATAAAATGTTGTTCCTATTACTGAAATATTTTTATCTGACTAAGACGTCATAAATTTTGAAATTTTTCTCTGATTAGAATGTTACAACTGTTGAATTTTTGTCTGACTCAATTAATAATTAAAATGTCACTTCCGCAATATTTTATGATTTATCTGGCTAAAAATTATTTTTATTTATTTATTTATTATTATTTTTTTTTTATTTAAATTTTTGGAGTGTCACATTCTACCCTCCTTAAAAGATGTTTCGTCCCGAAACATTACTATATCTAAATAATCAAATTCTTAAGTGTTACATTCTACCCCTCTTAAAGAGAGGTTACGTCCTCGTAACTCAAATTTTACCTTATTCAAAATAACTCTGGATAACGTTTGCGCATATCGTCCTCAGTCTCCCATGTGGCATTTTCGGCCAAATGGTTAGACCACAACACCTTCACCATCTTAACCGCTTTTCTTCTAGTCTCACGGGTCTTAGTATCCAAAATCTGGACTGGCCTCTCCTCGTAAGTCAACGATTCATCCAACTCGACCACCTAAAAAGTCGAGGTTAGATGTGATACTTGGATCTAATAATTATCATAAGGTTACGATTCGTACCTCGGGGCTAAGAATATGGGATTCGTCGCGGACATACTTCTTCAATTGGAAGATATGGAAAACGTTGTGTACCTACGCATAGCACACTTTAGGTTTTGAGAGATACTTACTAAGGTATTCACTAACGAGCGGTTATAGTATGTTATACCTTAGCCAACTCGGTGGGTAGAGCTAGCCGATATGCCACTCTTCCCACTCGCTCGAGGATGTCATATGGGCCAATGAACCTCGGGCTTAGCTTTCCCTTCTTTCCAAACCTCATTATTCCCTTGGCCGGGGAGACTCTGAGTAGGACTTTTTCTCCCGCTTCAAATTCTGCTGGCTTCCTTCTCAGGTCTGCATAAGACTTCTGACGATCTTGTGCAGCTTTCATTCTTGCTTGAATCGTCTTCACTTTCTCTATGGTGTCTTGGAGGTACTCCGGCCCTAACACCACTTGATCTTCCATGTCACCCCAGCATAGTGGGCTTCTACACTTTTGACCATATAGAGCTTCGTACGGGGCCATTTTGATACTGGCATGGTAGCTATTGTTGTACGAAAACTCTATTAAGTCTAAGTGTTCGTCCCACGACCCTTGTAGGTCTAACATACATGCTCTCAGCATGTCCTCGAGTGTTTGGATGGTTCGTTCCGTCTGTCCATCGGTCATCGGGTGAAAGGCAGTACTCAGCTTCAACTTCGTCCCCATGGCGGCTTGCAATTCCTTCCAGAATTGAGATAGAAATCTAGAATCACGGTCAGAAACGATGTCTTGTGGAACTCCATGGTACTTAACCACGTGCTTGATGTAGGCTCGGGCTAATTTCTCCATGCTCCAAGTTTCGTTCATTGGGATAAAGCGAGCGGTCTTTGTTAACCGATCAACTATGACCCAAACCTTGTCTTTTCCAGACTTGGTTAGGGGTAAGCCCCCAACAAAGTCCATGGAGATGAAATCCCACTTCCACTTTGGTACTTCCAAGGATTGTACGAGTCCCTTGGGCTTGCAACGTTCGGCTTTCACCTTCTGGCAGTTTAAGCATCGGGCCACGAACTCGGCTACCTCTTTCTTCATCTTTGGCCACCAAAAATTCTTTTTGATGTCTTTGTAGAATTTATCGCCCCCAGGGTGTACCGAGTAAGGCGTGTTGTGCCCTTCCTCCAGAATTTTCCTTTTAAGTTCTTCACATTTCATCGGAACACACCACCTTCCTTTGTGTCGAATGCTCCCGTCTTCGTACAGTTTGAACGGACCGTTCACGCCATTTGTCATACCTGCTCGGATTCGGTCTAGCTTTATGTCTCCAGGCTGTCCTTCACGAATTTCGTCGAAGATAGATGGGGTAACGGTCATGGTGAGTAACCGTGTTTCCCGCTCTACCTCTCCGAAATCCCGAACTTCCAAGTCTAGCTTTTGAAAGTCCCGGTAAAGTTCATCAGGTAGTACCCATGCTGCTTTGAAGGAGTGGGTTGACTTCCGGCTCAGCGCATCGGCAACCACGTTTGCTTTGCCTTCATGATATTGGATCTCCAAGTCATAGTCTTTGACGAGTTCTAGCCAGCGTCTCTGTCTCATGTTAAGCTCCTTTTGGGTGAAGATGTACTTCAGGCTCTTGTGATCGGTGTAAACTTTACAGTGTACCCCATAGAGATAGTGCCTCCACAGCTTTAGAGCAAAGATAACCGTTGCCAGTTCTAAGTCATGAGTCGGATAGTTGACCTCATGTGTCTTTAGTTGCCTTGATGCATAGGCCACCACCTTGCCATTTTGCATCAATACGCAACCCAACCCTTTTAAACAAGCATCGGTGTAGATCTCGAACCCCTCGGTACCGGACGGTAGGGTCAAGACAGGCGCGGTTGTTAACCTTTGCTTCAGTTCTTGGAAAGCTTGTTTGCATTCTTCACTCCATATGAACTTCGTGGTCTTCTTCGTGAGATTAGTCAAAGGCTTTGCTATCTTTGAGAAATCCTTCACGAATCTGCGATAATAGCCCGCCAAACCTGAAAAGCTCCGGACCTCCGTCACGGTTTTGGGCGCAGGCCAGTCAATCACTGCTTCGATCTTTGACGGGTCAACGGATACCCCTTCTCGGGTGATGATGTGGCCCAAGAATGCTACCCGGTCCCTCCAGAAATCACACTTTGAGAGTTTGGCATATAGCTGATTCTCTCTCAAAGTTTGCAGTGCTATCCTCAGATGTTCTTCATGCTCAGTTGGTGTCTTGGAGTACACCAGGATGTCGTCAATGAACACCACAATGAACAGATCGAGGTAGGGTCGGAACACACGGTTCATGAGATCCATAAATACCGCAGGTGCATTTGTGAGGCCAAACGGCATTATGGTGAACTCATAGTGTCCGTACCTCGTTCGAAAGGCCGTCTTCGGGATATCTTTCTCAGAAATCCTCACTTGATGGTACCCAGATCTTAAATCAACTTTGGAAAACGTGCTAGCTCCCCTCAGTTGATCAAAGAGGTCATCAATGCGAGGCAGCATGTATTTGTTCTTGATGGTCGCCTTGTTCAGCTCCCTATAGTCAATGCAGAGTCTCAGACTCCCGTCCTTCTTCTTCACAAACAAGACCGGAGCACCCCAAGGTGAGATACTCGGTTTGATGTAGCCTTTCTCCAATAATTCTTCAAGTTGTTCTTTCAGTTCTTTCATCTCCTTCGGTGCCATTCGGTATGGTGCCTTTGAGATGGGTGCGGTGCCCGGCAGAAGGTCGATTGAAAACTCGACTTCCCTCTCCGGTGGCATCCCTGGAATCTCTTCTGGGAATACATCCGGAAACTCATTGACCACTGGGATTTGGTCAATGGTCGGGTCCTCGGAGTTCCAGTCTTTGATCCTGCACAAGTAAACTTCATACCCCTTTCGGGCATATCGTTTGACTTGTTGCATGGTTGCAAGCTTCACTCCCGGTTTAGATGTAACTGCTTTGTAGGATACACGTTTTTTATTGGGTCCTCTTAAGACCACTTTCTGCTCGTCGCATAGGATTTTGGCTTTATATTTCCCTAGCCAGTCCATACCCAACACCACGTCGATATCCTCCAGGTCAAATTGGATTAGATCTCCGGGTAGTTCGGTATCGGATATGACTATGGGAACGTTAGAGAAAACACTCCCACATGCCACCACTTGGTTGGAGGCCGTTTTTACGTTAAGACTAAGCTTAGTGGTAGGTTCTAGCTTCGTCCTTTCCACGGATTTTGATGCTATGAAGCTGTGGGACGCACCTGAATCAAACAGCACATAAGCAGGTTTGGAGTTTACAAGAAAGGTACCTGTCACCACATCGTGTGCATTTGCTTGCGCCTGGTTCATGACGTAGATGCGGCCTTGAGTGTTGTTTTGCCCTCCCGGGCCTTGGTTTCGGTTAGCCTCCGCTGGGGGATTACCGGGATTACCACGGTTGATGTTAGCGTGATTATTCCCGCCCCCAGTTTGGTTGTTCCCTTGGCCTTGACCCTGGCTCGGAGGTTTCCGACACTCATATGCCCGATGCCCCATGAGATTACAGTTGTAACATCTCACCGCATTTCCCGCACAATCCTTCCCGGGATGGTTATTTGGGCACAGTTTGCATTTGTAGTGCCGTAACTGAGCGGGCTGATTCCTTCCCTGACCCTGGCCTTGGAAGGTTCTACCGTTTTGGTTGTTTTGTCTTGGCTCTAGGCGGTCAGTTCGGGCCTTCTTTTGCTGCTGTTCTACCTCGGCAATCTTCCGGTCTCTCTTCTGCGCCTCCCTCTCCTTCTGATGTACCATGTAGTACTTCCCGACCTTCCGGTACGCCTCATTCATGTTCCGCGGCTCTGCCACGGTTACGAACTTTTGGGCGCCAAAGTTCAGCCCATTCACAAACCTCCGGGTCATGCTGGCCTCAGTGGATACCAGCTCTTTGGCGAAGCGGGCCAGTTGGACAAACTTCGTGTGGTACTCTTGGACGGTTAAATCTCCTTGCTTGAAGTTGACAAACTCATCATAGTTTGCCTCTTTCACATGGTCCGGATAGAAACGGTCGCGTAGGGCTATCTTGAAGTCTTCCCAACAAAATTCCGGTTGCTCGAGGAGAGTTGTCCCGGTGGCAGCCCACCAATGATCCGCCTCTTGGTGCAAGTAGTACACCGCTATGTTTACCCGCTGCTCTAACGGGCAGTTGAGCGAATCAAAGAGCTTGTCGAAGGTTCGGATCCAGTCTTCTAGAATCAGATGATCCTCCTCCCCCAGGTATTTTGGGGGGTTCCTTCCGGCTACGCGCGCTGCATAGTCAACCCCTTGGTTATGGGTTTGAGCTGCTCCGATGTGTTGCGCCATCTGCTGAATAGTTTGAGCCAACTCCTCAACAGTTGGGGTCGCATGGGGGTTTCTTCTTGGCGGCATGTTTCTTAATAAAGAAAAGCTCGTACTAAGTATTAATGCATACATAAGGATTCTATACAAATTCTCTACTAACTTCAGATTCTTAGAACAAATAGTACACATAGTGTATCAAATATTTTACATACTTCACAGAGGCATGAATCCCATGCATTTCATAACTCAATAACTTCGCAAGGTTTCTCCTTCTCACCGCGTTCCTAAAAGGCCTCTTTCCTAGTATATTTATTCTCCTAATTTTAGGAAAACATTTTTGAAAATCCCGCATCAAACCCATAGTTTTCGTCAAAGATTTCGAACAACGAAGTTTCAGCACAAGGAGAAATTCCCAGTTGGTTGGACGAGCGCAAAGACTCAATTATGCACCAACCAGCTTAGACTGTTATCGTCTTTGTGACAGAATTTCTCCCTACGACCTATTACCTCGTGTTCTAATCCTTTCGGAAAAACCAAAGGCTCTGATACCAATTTGTAACACCCCAAAATTTCCCGCCCAAAAACAATGATATATTTAAAAGAAATACTTTATTCATTCATCAAAGAGTTAAAGAAATACAGCGGAAGTCTAAAATAGGGAAACGGGTGTTACCGCCACATCCGGTCATCTCTCAACCGGATGCACAGGCAACTAGAACAGAACAACTAATTTAATAAAAGTAGAGTGTTTGAAAAGTAAATGTTTATTTCATGACTAGTGTAACTAAGGCGACTTCTAACTCGCTCTCGGCCATGCAAGCAATCATCACTCGACAACATCATCCTCACCTGCACAAATAAAGTGCAGAAACAAAACAAGGAAAAGAAAACAAAAATTAGCTTTAGAGCTAAGTAAGTACTACCCAACCCCGTAAAATAATCATGTTTGACTAAAATAGATTTTTATATAATAATATATAAAAATACTCACACCATCAAAATTCTTTTCACTTTGATTTTTATCAAGACTACTTCTTTACAAAAAAAAAATCCTCAACTTCTCTATAAAACTTCATAATAACTCTTCTCTTTGATTTCCTCAAAAATCACTTCTTCTCTAACTTCCTAGTAATTTAGAAGGGCGGTGCTCAACCTTTCGGTAGAGCCCGGTGGACCGTGGTTACGGACGGCCACCCCGAACAAGTGCCGGTACCACAACTGCTCTGTTGGAAACGAAACGACTACCTTAAGTGTGCACACCCCCTAAAAGGGATTCCAAGCCCCCCGAGTAGTAAGTCGTAACGAGTAGTCGGGACTCAGTCTACCAACTACCCCTGAATAAGATATTTTGAATGACTAGGGACTACTACTACCATAACTTCTTCTTAAAAGGGATCATCGATCCAAATATCACTTTAAACTCAAACTGTACTTCTTAGTAGTAGCAGACCTAATCACCCTCCACATTTATCCGGACGTGGAAAACCGACACCACGGATTTCTCCCGTGATGCTCACCTCTTATAAAAATGTAAATTTTATCTTCAATAAATAATACTTCAAAAATACTTCTCAATTTCTCTAAAAAGTCTTGAAGGTATTTAAAAATATTAAATACCCTAAAAGTACTTAATTTATATTTCTCAACTACCATATATATAATATCTCTTCAAAAATCACATACACAAAATTCAACAATTCACACTTATTCACATAATGCATAATAAGCATATAATACGAGGAAACAATTTTAGATTGGCAGAGAAACTTACCTCTAGTCCGGGTGCTCCTAATTCTCTTCTTCTACTCCGGTCTCTAAATAATCACCTTTTTAATTAAGATGATATAATTAGTCACTTACTCTTTAATAATTATTTTACTCGATTTTTACCTTTTATTTTATTTTTCGAATTCACTAATTCAATTATTTTATTATCCGCGTTAATCACTTCTTATTAATTAAATTACCTTATTAATTCCGTCGTTAATTAAAATACTTAAATTCTAAAACATACGAATTTAATTAATTACAATATCAAATTTCTAATTTAATAATCATCTTTTTATTTACTCAACTCCTAAAGCATATGGTATGGCTTAATATTATATCCGAATTATTTTTAATCTAACTAATCAAATATAAAAATTAGTTTATATTAACATTATTAGCCTTAATAAATCCGAATTAACTAATATATTCGGATTTTATTAATTACTTAAACACTTAATATTTTAAAGTCCGAAATTATGCAAATTTTATATTACTCTACCTTAATTAGTCCAATAATTAGTGAAAACAAAATCTACCAATTTATTTAATCTAATTATGATACCAAGTCGAAATAATTATTTTAATATAATATTCTCTAATGAATATTAAACTATAAATTAATTTTATCGATAATAAACATTTTATTCTTTAACTAATTAGCTTTATATGGTCCAATTTAATAAAATAGCCAAGAGTCGACTTTATAAATTAATAACCGTCCATAACTACATTTTGGTTCTATATTTGGCTTAGGTTGTCCAATTATTTATTTTATAATTCATTTTCCTTAATTATTCATTTATTTTCGTATATCAAATAACCGGTCCATTCACAATTAAATATACTAATATTAATTTTTATTAATTATAAATGGTCCATAATGTCTTAGTTAGTCTTATATTTATCCTAGTTTACTCCAATATTTATTTCATAATTAATTTCGCCATTTACTTATTTATTTACTAATTGTGTACAAATTGGCCCAATTACCATTAAATCAATTAAAAATAGCTAAAAATATTATTTTTCAATTCTGGTTGGTCCGAACATGTATAATTACACCAGGTATTTAATTTATATTTTTCCAGATTTTATTTATTTCATTTACTATTTTATTTTTAATTTTTATTGCAACTGGGCCGAACTGGCCAAATTTAATTCTTCTGGCCCAAAAAATCAGGCCCACAAGACAGACCCTTGTCTGGGTCGTCTTCTCCACCAGCTCGCCGAAAAAAAAACGGGGAAAGAGAAAGAAAAACGGGGAAGAGGTTTTACCTCGTCGGAAACGGCCAACGGGGTAGCGGTGCACTCCTCTCGGGACGGCGAAGGCCGGTGGAGGGTTGGCGGCGGAGACGGCGGCTCCTGCTCCTCCGTTTTCTGTCGGGAAAGTTTTCCGGCGAAAACTCCGGCGAGCGTTTTCTCCCTCGTTTCACGACCGTTTTCAAAGATTCTTCCTCCGTTGGATTCCTCTCACGAAGGGGAAGGTCTGGGAAGCGTTTTCAGGGCTCGGTTTTGAGTCTAACGATGGGTTGGAAAAATTTCAGTTATATATATATATATATATATATATATATATATATATATATATATATATATACGTTTTTCCGACGAAATTTTGGGATGAAAAGGCCAGGCAACTCTTCTGCTATTTATAGAGATGGCTGGGTGTAAAGCTTCTGATTCAGATCCTAAAATCCTGCTCCTAAGATTTTTTTTTTCTCTTTTGGAACGTTTCATACGTTGGGAGATTTCCTCCGTTATAAAATTTAATTTTTTAAAATTTTTTTCCTTTGTTGATTTGTAACTGATGTGGGTTATACGTATAGTATTAAAAAAAATATAATATTATTAATTTAATAATTTACTTTCTGATTTTATACGTAGGTTTATATATTTAGGAGTAAAAATGGAAATTGTGTTTTGTAAAAATAAAATATAGCTTTACTTCTTATGTCATATGTATAATTGATACTTGATATAAAATATTACTTCTTTTATCGGACCATTTTTATCTGACTAAAAATGTCACAATTGTTAATTTTCTGTCTGGTTCGCTTGTTTCATAAAATGTTGTTCCTATTACAACTGTTGAATTTTTGTCTGACTCAATTAATAATTAAAATGTCACTTCCGCAATATTTTATGATTTATCTGGCTAAAAATTATTTTTATTTATTTATTTATTATTTTTCTTTTTTTTATTTAAATTTTTGAAGTGTCACACTAGTCTTCACCCCACCCCAGCTCTAAGTTGAACTCCATAAGTTTTATCAAAAGGGATGTTATCTCCCTCATACATGACAGGACAAAACTTATCAGAATGCCCAATAATCTCACAGATAAAGCAAAAATTAGGAAGTTTTTCATACTTGAAATCCACCCACTGGCCAATACCTCCTTTCTTTAAGGTTGTTCCTTTTTCAGAGGTCTCCTAATATCCATACGGACTCTAATACGCATATAAGCCTCCCATTTTTCATCAAACTAGTTTTCATCAAAACTAATGAATTTTCCAATAAAGTTACCAATTCTCCGAGCAGACGCTAAATTCATAAAACCATATGCCACATTATGAACGTGGACCCTGTTAGAAAACCGGACCGGCTCAGACCTTAATCACCACCAAGCCCAAAGGCTTGCTCACACTCACCACCAGGGATACAACCAGGGAAGACGGAAGGGCGACAGCCAACTAGTCCGCACACTCAGAACCCAGACCCTAGCCAGAAATCCCACCACCGGAGCAACGGATACCCACCACACTACCAGACTAGAGCGAAGACCCCAAAAGGAACCACAAAGTCTCACCGGAGCAAAGCCGGAGCTAAAGCTCAGAGTAGACCGGCACTCTCTCACTCTAGGTCTAGAGTAACTGAACAGGAGAGACATCGTTTAGAGAGAAGGTGGAGAGGCTGAAATAGGAGGATTCCAGAAGAACCAGCCAATATAAGGGAGGGCCACACGGGATGGGCTGGGTATAAGACAAACGGGGTAGGAATGGGCTTGGTCGGGTAGACAGCCCAATTGGGCCAGGGCATTAAATAGGAGACCAACTCCTTAAATGAGGTGGACCAAAGGCAGCTCAGGGATGGCCCAGTAGTGAGGTGGATCAATACCACTACAATCTCCACCTTATTGACCCCCCTGGTGGTGTAGAGCACAACGTGAAAGGGAAATCATCATTGGCGGTTTTTCTTGTTTTACAGTTCTTATCTAGCCACAATCTAAATTAAGAATACGCTTACAAGACAACAATTTTTCAAAAGTGAGACATTTAGTCCCCATATCTGCAGGGTTAAATTCTGAAGGTATCTTGGACAGCTTTATCCAACCTGCATCCACAATATTCCTAATAAAATGAAACCTGACATCAATGTGCTTGGTCCTGTCATGGAATACAGGATTCTTGCACAATTGGATAGCAGACTGGCTATCAGAGTACACTGTCACAACCTGCTTAAGAAAACCAATTTCAGTTAGCATTCGTTTAAGCCAAATAGCCTCTTTAAAGGCCTCAGTGGCTGCCACGTATTCAGATTCAGTAGTGGACAGTGCAACAATAGGTTGTAGTTGAGATTTCCAACTTATGCAGGAACCACAAAGAGTAAAAATGTAGGAAGTAGTAGACTTTCTATTGTCCCTATCATTTGCATATATGGAGTCAACATAGCCAGTAAGTAAAATGCCAGTTTCAGTTTTAGAAAACACAAGACCATGAGAAGGTGTACCCCTAAGGTATCTAAGGAGCCATTTAAGGGCAGTCCAGTGAGACATACCAGAGTTTGCCATATATCTGCTTAAGCAACTGACAGCATAAGCTATATCAGGCCTTGTGCTTACCATGAGATACATGACTGACCCTATAGCACTAGAATAGGGTACAGCCTTCATCCTATCTATCTCAGAAGCAGTCCTTGGGGACTGATCCTTGCTTAGCACAAAATGGGGTGCTAAGGGAACATTCACAGGTTGGGCAGAGTCAATTTTGAACTTTTTCAAGACCTTTTCAAGATAGGAGGTTTGGTTCAGGGTAAGGGTACACCTACTCCTATCCCTAAGTATATTAATCCCTAGGATTCTCTTTGCATCTCCAAGATCTTTCATAGCAAAGTTTTCACTAAGGCACTTTTGAACTATCTTAATAGCATTCACAGAGGGGCTAATGATAAGCATGTCATCAACATAGATCAACAAGAAAACATGTATAGAGGCAGTATTCTTAAAATACAAACAAGGGTCAGAATCAGACCTTTTGAAACTCAGGGAAGACATACACTGGTCAAACTTGATATTCCATTGTGTGGGAGACTGTTTCAGGCCATAGAGGGCCTTCCTAAGTAGACAGAAATGTCTAGGGTACTTAGGGTCAATAAAACCCTCAGGTTGGCTCATGAAAATCTGTTTGTCTAGTTCACCATGCAGGAAAGCAGTGGTAACATCCATCTGCTTCATCTCCCAGTCATTATGGGTAAGCATCATCCTAATTGTTGTGAATTTTACTACGGGAGCAAAAATTTCAGCATAGTCTACCCCTTCCTTTTGAGTGAAACCTTTAGCCACTAACCTAGCTTTAAACCTAATGTCATTTGGTTTTTCTTTAACTTTGAAAAGCCATTTGCACTCAACAACAGAACAATTAGGAGTCCTAGGAACTAGGGTCCAGGTTTTATTCAACTTGAGAGAATCTATCTCACTTTGCATAGCACATAGCCAATTTTTAGATTCTTTAGAGGCAAGGGTTTCCTGGTAGGTTTTAGGCTCATTCAACTCAAGAGTTTCAAAAACAGAGAAAGCAAATAATGAAGTATCATACAGGTGAAATGCATAGTCAGTCATACTATCAGAAATCCTCTTAATGTTTCTTCTAGTCCTATCTCTGGCTAACACATAATCATCTAGACTTTCATTCTCAACTTGGATCTCTTCAAGTTCTTCATTATCAGCAAAATCAGATTGAACAATCACATCATGCAAATTTTCATCATTACCACTGGGCTGCTCCACCTCACTAGAGATGGAGTGGGTGTCATGCATAGTGTTGGTCAAATCAGGAGTAATAGACTCATTCAACAGAGGGGCAGCAGTGGTCTGGATAGGCTCCACCTCACTAGGAGAGGTGCCATCATGCACAGTTTGAGGGTCAGTCACATTTTTAACTAAGCAGGGAAAATCACTTTCATTGAACACAACATTTCTGCTTATAATGACCTTAAAACCGCTCTCGTTCCTATCCCAGATCCTATATCCTTTAACACCTTCAGGATATCCTAAGAAAATGCATTTCTTAGACCTAGGGTCCAACTTATCAGTCTGTTGATGTACATATGAAGCACACCCGAACACTTTTAAGTTTGACAAGTCCAGGGGTTTCTTAGAGAAGACAGACTCATGGCACTTACCTTCTAAAGGTACAGAGGGGGATCTATTTATCAGGTAGGTGGCAGTATTGACAGCTTCTCCCCAAAACTTCTTGGGGAGGCCAGAAGTGGCAAGCATACTCCTAACCTTGTCTAGGAGGGTCCTATTCATTCTCTCAGCTAAGCCATTCTGTTGGGGAGTATAGGGCACAGTTTTGTGTCTCCTAATCCCACTCTCAACACACAACCTATCCATATCCTTATTGCAGAATTCTAAGCCATTGTCAGTTCTAAGGGTTTTAACCTTACATCCAGTTTGATTTTCTACCATAATTTTCCATTCTTTAAACCTAACATACACATCAGATTTATGTTCTAACAAACAGACCCAGACTTTTCTAGAAAAGTCATCAATTATGGACAGAAAATACCTCCTACCCCCATGGGTAGGGACGCTGGAAGGACCCCATACATCTGCATGTATGTAGTCAAGGACAGCTTTAGACTTAGGCTCACTAGAATAGCTAGAAACAGGAAACTGAACCCTATGTTGTTTGCCTAGGACACAACCCTCACAGAAAGGTATGGGTGACACCAAGTCATTACCAAAACATCCAGTTTGTTTCAAAATATTTAATCCTCTATTACTCATGTGACCCAGTCTTTGGTGCCAAAGCACAGACTTGTCACTAAGTACAGCATTAGCATTTTCAGAAAAAGGTTTGGCATGCACAACATAAAGGTTATTTTGTTTCAAAGCTTTAAACAAAACAAGGGAGTTTTTCAAAATCTTCATACACCCATTTCCCCATTCACCCTCAAGACCACATTCTTCAAAAACAGAAACAGAAAGCAGGTTGTGCCTAAGATCAGGGACATGTCTAACATTTTTTTAATTTGAAAATAGTTCCATTTTCAAACTTAAGACTTATGTCACCCACACCATGGACCTTACACTTCTTATTGTCAGCTAGGGACACATAACCAGAATCACAAGCACTATAAGAAGCAAACAGATTTTTAAAAGGAGTCATGTGGTAGGTACAACCTGAATCTATTAACCATTCAAGTTCAGCTAGGTTGCTTAGGACAGAATTAGCATGATCACAGACCATGAACACTTCTTCACTAATTTCCTTATCAGTCACAGAGTTGGCTTGTTCATT